AGGATATAACTTGACAAAGGTTGTAGAGCCCTCACGGACTTATATAATGGATGTTGGTTCCTTTCTACATACTTCCCTGAGAACACTGTGAATGTACCAAAACGATTTTCATCTTGTCACCTTGTTTTCTTTTCAACACGTTGTGGTTTTAGGTCCGGCTATTCTACGAATTATTTAAGTCAAGTCAATGAAAGCGGCTTTTGCACCCAGAACGGATGAATATTTACCCGTTAAGCATCCGCTTTTTCTTCGTGACATAACATCCTTTTATGGTTTCAGTGTTTTAAATGAAACGAATGATCGCAGTTAAATATACTACTTTTTTACATTTTTTGAAGTACGTAGAACAAATTGTAGTTGTCATTTCCGTCTTATCAACCAGTCAAATACGATACCTCCCCATAGACTGCAACCTATGGTTACTATGGAGACTTTGCTAGGCATTCTATTACCAAGTGTAGTTGTAGTCATTTGTTGTCTCCCATGTTGCGATATCTCAGATAAAACGCAGTTCGCGTAATTATACAAAACGCTATACTAACACCAAGTAATTTTGTTTGCCTGGTGAAGTTGAATCTTTTCATCTTAAGTGATTTAGTCTCGTGATGCAAAACTAATGTTATCTTAACTAGCTGAATGGCTATAACTTGTTAGATAAGTTGTTTTTTCTTACCACGAACGTACCACAGTCTAGCAACCTAACTACATCGATGTAATTACTAGTCGATTTGAGTGACATTTAATTTTGTACCAGCTTGATTAACTGCCACGTTTTTATGCCGTTTCCATTCAGTGAAAGGAATGGAACAATGGTGCAGTTTTATAATACGGATAAAATGCCGAGGCTTAAAGGTCCTGAGAGATGGTTTTGCGAATCAATTTAATTTAAAAATTTAACACTAATTTGGAACTCGCATTTGTAAACTCTCCATTGTATCCACCTTAATACTTATGTATATCCTCTTACCTTGTAAGACGTAGTGAGCACAATGCTTATCTGCGGCTTGTCCTCACTCGATGAACAGAAACCGAATAATACAGACGGTGCAATGAATCGTCGTCTCTTTTAAAATATAGATAGGATTGACGCAACAGGTACACATTTTGAAAGAGCTTTCCACAACCTACACACTAAAGAGGACAATTATTCCGGCAGCATTTTAGCAGACTATATTGAGTGACCAGTTTCAAATAATGGCTCCTCAGTTTTGTGTTGCTAATAAGATAATCTATTCCACCGTCTATCGCGCATACTCAGGTATGCCGTTCCACAGCAAGGATGCAAATCCAGTTCACTAGGCGTCCAATAGGGAGAATAAACCTCAAGAATAACCTGCCTGTTCTCACGGATTCAATTTGGGTTTGCTACTCCACATGTTCTTGTGGAGCACGTTAAGTAAATTGTAAGACAAGGCAATTTTTCTAAAGGGCGAGGGAACACCTTCCGGCCTAGCTCGGAAATGGAGTTTGTAAGACCACCAACTCTGTCATCGCTGCGCACCTTGCGGATACGGGTCATAACACCTGGTCGGCGGATTCAGTCAAAGTAACAAATCAAGCCTTAGAAAATCGTGCAAAGTATTTCCGTAAGCGGATACTAGGCACCACAGAAGCCATCGCCATTCGCTATACGAACCGGAGCTGTGCTCGAGAAAAGGTTCATTCTCACGTTGAATCCACCTTGGCCAGCAAGGAATGCGGTTGATTTGTGCGAGCGCGTGACTACAGCTGGAACCTAAACGACAGTCTGTCATGGCGCACTAGTCTTAATTTGGTTGACTATGACCCGTAAGGTCTGTATACAAAGTGTGATTTCCATGTAATTGTAAAAGCGTAATGATGAATTACTACTAACCTATGTTCACTTACACATATCTTTGATCAGTCAATAAATATTGAACTTAATAAATTTTAATAGGCAGCAGAAATTGTGATCGGGGTTTTTCAAGGTCTGATACACTAGAATGTGGTCGCTCCGTACACGACGATAACTTCCGCCGAACATTCCTTACATTTTGAGTAGCAGATGTTATGGCAGGTAGAATAATCCATTTACACTTTTGGTTGCTTTTCGTTGTGCGGTCTTTATCGCAAACATTTCGCGTTTTAACCAGGATTGCTAGACCCGAATCACATACTCTACATGTGGCCTTACCTACACACTGCGTATTTGGGGGAAGCTAGGGAGCTCGAACTGCCTTAAGGAACTTCTTAAGCGAGGAACCATTGAGTCAGTCGATGCAATTGTTGTCCGCAGCTGAATGCGTCGTCGCTTGCCTTTCCCTTTTGCGCTAAATTGGTTGCGTTTTTGAAATTCATATATTCTGTGAGTTACAAGTCTCTAGAGGCAGGTGAACGCGGCTTGGTCGATTACCCGGTAATCGTCCTGAATTTAAAGGAGCAACTGAGTGATAAGAGACACAAAAAATCCAACCTCTAATTCACTTCGCGATATACAGGTGTGATTGATGGTTATTCGTATGGCTTTGGGAGTTGGCTTTCATTTGAGACAACAAATGTTGCTGTGTCTCAGGATTTAGAACATTTTGCGCGTGCTTTTCTAAGGGAACAATGCAAAAATTTCGCTGTGAGGTTGGGAGTTATTCCACACAAGCCTGATCCGAAAGATGCAGTGTACTAACTGGCGCTGGTGAAGTGGAGCATATGAGGGTAAGCACACGTTTCGTGATGCGAATTGTGCAAATAAATCCGATCTGATTACGAGGCCAAAGAAAACGCGACCTTCACGTCACTGTAAGATGACGCAACGTCTACCTGGAAATATGGACTTCGCCTAATAAGTCAAGTGTGAATTATTGAGAGTGTGGTGTCAAGCATTAACGTCGGACTTTGCACATTGTTTTGCTGACTAATATAGAAATCATTCCGTAGTGCAATTAAACTACAACAAGCCAGTTAACGCTGCACAATTAAGCAAGGCAAAGTTACTGTGCCATAACATTTGCAACAAATCGACCATATAAAATATGATTAGATAAGCGACGTGGTTACAAGTTTTTGATATAATCGTTTAGTTTGTATGAACCTACAGTTAAAAATGGGTTTGCTTAGATAGCCTAAGTATATGTGAAGGTTTACTTAATTTTACCAACGAACAGCAGGTGTGCATGAAAATTTTTTGGCATTTACGATATATACCATTAAATAAACACCAAGATTGCACGCATGAGCATACTGCAAACAATAATAAGTTACAAGAACCTTGACGTGATTTATCTGATTAGAAAAGATTACCTAGTGTGTTGGGGGCGACAAAGTTTGACACCTCTAAAGCTGTCTGGATGCTTGCAACGTGAATGAATAATTAGTTACTGTATTAATTGTTCTATGTTATTTATGTAGGAACATTTGTATTTTCAAAAATAACCTCTGTTTCAGCAGTTTTGGCTCCGCTTTATAAGTTCCGTGGCCTAGCAACGACCAAAAGTTGTGGTCTTTTTAACCTTCCAGGCGACTGACTTGAACTGAAGCTATCTTTAATGGAACGGTGTGTTAAGCAAATCTGTCGTGTTCCTCAAGAAATTATGTGGGCATACATCGCACAAGCTGAAAACTATGGAAATTTTTTCTGTTCGTTTGTGTCTTTAACGATGAAAATCAAGACTACCATCTCTCCACGTTTATCTCCAACGCTGCAATTAAACAGCTCTCTGCCAACGATTGCAAGAGACCCGTAATTGTGGCGTAGGTTTTTCCACGGCGGAAAGGCCATATTCATGTATTATCCAAATGACTCCCTTTTGCAAGGAACTTCCAAAAGCCATAAAAGCTATCTCGGCCAGCTCAACGATAGTGGCGTCCAAATATGGCTTGTGCTTTGCTATATCAATAAGTAACTTTCTGCTTCTGTATCTATACATATTTTCGAAGGCGCTTTAGGTTGCAGCTGGCACCCTAGAACAAGTCAAAAGTTATATGTTTTGTCGGAAGGCGTAGCACTTTGGTTTCTGGTTTGGTTTTGAAATTTCAAACGGAATGGCTAACGCTGAACTTTCATTCCCTAATCTTATACCTTGAGACATCGTCACGATATTAATTTTAGACTCAAATTCAGATGGCTTAAAGCCACCGGTTATCCCTCGGCATGGATACAAGGACTGATTTGTGTCATTGCTACATGGTTTACATGGATGCCAAAAGTGGATCAGAACGAAGTTATTAAATTAAATCCGAAGAAACTTAACACGTTCTGAGACCATTCCGGTACTTAAAGTTGTGGTATATTTGCAACTTGTGAGTGAACGAATTCGGAGCTCTTTATGCCTGTGTTGGTTACGTCCGCTATGGAAATGCGATTTTGAACTTAACACACAGTCAATATAACAAGTATTTGGCACACAGTCGTAAAGCTTCCCTTTCACAGCTACTGCTTTATGCAACACGAATAAAAGAATGCAAACTTTACTTAATAATTAACAAATTATCGCCAGTAACTTAGCTTGATGGCAGCCTGTGTTAATTTTCCGTGATAAGGATATTAAACCGATGCTATTTTTCTACGCATTTGTAGGTAGTTTGGTTTTCATTGCTAGAAAATTCAAGATAATTCTGGTTAACTGCAGAAGTCTCGCAAGTTGCACTTATGAATGATCACTAAAACTTGAATTAATTTTTTGGAATGTTCTGGAACTTAACTGTATGCAAACTATTATATGTGACGTTTACCAGACTCTCGGACTCTAATAGAAAGCATTTACACTAGGCACATATAAATGTGCTTTTCATCTAGACTCGGAATACATAATGACTCTTGTTTTTAGTGTTATTTGTTAATCATTTTATTGCTTAATAAAAGTGGCAAATTATAACGACACTGATACAATTGCAACCATTATGAAAACAATAATATACAGTAGTAAGTTTTAGTAATCATCTGTCAAGCTTTTGTTTGCTATTACTAGTTTACCTTCAGTGTGTTTGTATATTGTTGGTACAAAACCATTATGAGTTTATCGGATTAATTAACGTTTTATTTTCAGTTGCCGTCGTTTACCCCATCTTCAGTGAGTTTTCAACCAAACGGAGATGAAACAGAAAAGGTAAATCCTCCTTAATAATATTTACTCTAATCGCCGGTATGTCCTGTGTATTGTCTGCTATTAAGTGTCATTCAAACCATAAATACATGGCAAAAGATTCAGTGTATTTCATCATATATCAAGCAAAGCAAATTGGTAAGCTATTCGTTCGAGCCAATGAACACCGTTCATTTTGTGTTGTTTGAGAATAATATCAATCGAGTAATTGCAAGTTAGCTCTTAGTAAAGTTCCAGGACTAGCTTCACGAATATGAATAGGTAGATTTTTTCAAAAATACTGAAGCGCCGCGTTATGTATCATAAAAATCATTCATGCAGTAGTTAATTTATTTTGCAAAACAGAATAATTCAATTATCGAAAAAACGGTGCATATTTTGCTTGGGAAGGGAACTCGCCGAACTTTCCTTCATTTGGACAACGATGAGGAATTTATGTTGAATATATGAAGTGGAAAATGATAGAGCTTTTGCTAATAAGCCACATCTTGAAATCAGTGCGAGAGCTTTAATCAAGCGTAGATTGCATAGGTATTAGGTCGGCTTTACGTTAATAGTGGAGGTGATGTTACCCGTTAACAATGTAAATCTCCCTTGACAAATGGGTTTTCTGAAACCAACTGAGTAAGGTAATATTCCTGCTGAAAACTATAGACATTAAAACCATTACACTCCCACGTACCGTAACGGTATCATTCATTAAAAAGTAATGAAATAGATGACGAGATTTTGATGATTGTGCAGAGATAACGTATTTCTATTTAAATCCGCCCACCTGAACATGGATTCCTTCTTTCTACGGTTGGTCGTCCTTTTTCCTTTACCGATGTATGTCACACGCATATCCTGTCAACCTTTCGTCGGAGTGCTTCAAGTGCTTCGACGAAGAACAAATGTTGCGCAAATTCTAGTAAACCATAAGCGAGTTTTAATAAGTGTCTTAATGATTGCTTATTGACTATAAGCGAGCGTAGGAATTCGGAATAAATATCTGACATCATAAATTCAATGGCGTGTATTCAGTTACCAAACTTTCGAATGACTGAATTTATGGCTTCGGTTGCCTGGGCTTCTGGAATAAACTGACAGGTGTAATCTTGAAATTTGGAAGGCGTTTGGTCAGCCTGTGAATCTTGAACAGCTTATTTGCCTTAAAACCGGTAGCAATTTCACGTGGGCAGACAAATCGCATGTGTACACTAAGTCCTTGCTAAAATGTGTAAACAGAACTTTATCCATTACAAAGTAATTGGCTTTATGCCCCAACATCTAATAGAACATGCAGTTGGTTGCACTAATAAAATACCTTTAGATAAAAATGTCTCATTGACGCTGTCAGAAGTATACTTGCATTGCGTTGTTGGGAACTCGAACGGGCAGATTAATATTTGGGACAGGTGATACAATGGAATTGGAATGAAGAAAGCAGTTGCGGTGCGTTAGGGTGAAATTTGACATTTCTGGCCGTCAGCACCACGGCAAAAGAAATAGTCCAGTGAGCAAGGAGAGACAGTTTAATTTGTCAGTATAGATGTTGTGTGGGCGACACCTTTCAGGTTGCTCAGGCAGAAAATTTGGGTTGAAATGGGTTGCCTCAAATCGATCCTTTAGTCAAAAGGACCTGACTCGGAGGAGAGCTGGGCGAATTCAGGAGGTCGCACAATTTGGGAGCCGGTCAGTGCTCGCTCTGGTTCGTATGTATGACGAGCTAACAAACAAGAGCACCTTATCCCAGCAATTCAGCTTTCAGCTGAAAGATTACAACGCTCTAGCAAACGAAGGCCAGGAGCAGTGACCTTACTTGGTGACGTTCCGCATCTGTCAATTCGTAATGTTGTTAGCGGAGATCTATAACTTCTAACAAGGAATACTCATCCTGAGCGAAAACTGAATTTGTCCAGAAACACAGCCCCCAAAGTTTTGCAGACACGGGGTGATACCGAACCACCCAACAAGCACTACAAGGAGATATTTGGAAATCCCACCAAAGCCAGTATATACCATTTTATTTTGCGTGAACTCGTTTGATTTATGCTGCGTTAATAAAACTAATCTATATTTTTGAATGCAATCTGCCAAAAGCTTTTTGACCTGCATATCGGAAGTCCTTGTAACATCTTCAAAATACAGCCACGTCCAGAAAGTAATGTGGTCTGTGCTTACAAATCGGGTGCAATGTGTCGAAAACGCGGCCCATTAAAGCGAAAATGATTAAGCAGATCTCAAAGGAAAACCTAGAAAAGCCCGAAATTTGCATCATTTGGAAAACACTTGCTGAAATATATACCTACTTGCTTTTTATTTTGACTTTCTCAAGGACTAGTTTTTCAGACAAAAAAGTGTAGTCCTTGATATCATTTTCAGCATCGTTAGGATTGTAAGTATGCGTTAGCGAGCTTTTTAGATTTGGCAGGAAAACAGTAGAAAAAGCTCTGTCAATTACAAAACGTAAACTGGGATTGGCACTAATATAAGCGTGCTATCAGAAAACTGTCAGGATATTACTCAGTAACCGCTTTCTAGTTGTTAAGAAATATAAAATATGCATTAAGCCAATCAATACATGAAACCTGCGAAATATTTAACCTTTTGCACAATCAACTTGCGTAACATGACCGCATATAATTATACATTGTGGGTTTCTGCATTGCTTGGCATCTGTGAAGCTAGCTAATATTTTTCTACTTACCGGAATTTTTGTTCGACTGGCATGATTCATATGTCAAAGCATAGTTAAAGTTCATACTTGCAAACAGTACATTTGAAACAGAAAAGACATAAATCTGGTGAACCTAAAATATTTAAAACTGTGTTTCACTTAGCTGTTATTACGGATGTAATATGTGGAAGCATAACGACATAAAATACGTTTTATTTAAGCTTTTCAAGAGTAACGCGATGGAATTATTTTCATTTGCTATTTTAGCATTCGTTACAGAGGGATACTAAGTTATACTGAAAAGAACTGGAAAATGTTTTGTAATTATTTTAAAATTTGTGATCACATGAACACAAGTGGCCACATCTTACGTGTATTTTGCACCAGTGGTAAATTTAGGAGATAAAACATGATTGCTTTCTTTTGTAAAATGCGCCAGCACTTCTGCATGAAGAAAACAGTTCAGAGACTGTGTGGGTCAAATTCATCCACCGACAAACATGGGTCGATTGGAATGCGGTGTCTTTTACCCAGTGATCCTTTTCTCTCTGGTTTGCTTCGGCGCATAATTTTCTTACGAGGCATTTATATGTATGTGCTCTCAATTGCTAACAATCAAGCGGTACAAAATAGCGAATCATGAACTTAAATATTCAGTAACTAGACAGTTAAGTTGTTTTATCAAAGTTGTGTTGTCCAGTCCAAAGGATATAGCCATCCGTACTTGCGCAATTTCAAATTGCAAAGTTTGTGTGGGGTCATATTTTGTTTCGATGCGCTTCCGAGATCTTTATTATGTAAAAAGCTTTTCCTGACATTTACTGAATTTTGACACTGGAATTCTATGGAGTTATGTCTCTGGTAAACTGTGTTATTATTATAACACTGAACGCTTGAAGGATATTTGGTGTTATGCGCTTCAGCTTTCGTGCTACAAAGTTGTATCTGTGCAATAGAATAGGCTAAGTGGGCGCTTGAGTAGAAGCTGCCTCAATATATCGAAGTCACCCAACTGTGGGCCACTCGAAACCGACAATAGACAAGGGTACACGGTCCAAATCTCCTGTATCGGCTTAGCCTTGTAGATATATGCTGAACAAGTTACAATCTCGCACTTCACCTTGAGAAATTGAAAGTTGGCGATCTTATGATAGATGACAAAATGCAATGTACATTATGTTTAGAAAATATCTAAAAGTGAGCTTAGTAGCCTAAATAGTGCGCGGACCGTTTCCAAACACTCTGTTTATGTTGCCCACAAACTTCAAATTATATATCGTTTAGAGGAAGTGAGTTGCAGTGGCGAACCAAGCTGTTTACATAATCCTACCAATACTCCTCATGGGGCTCGTAAAGTCAGTTTAACTGTGTTGACCATTTGATCGACGTCTGCAAATCAGGTAGATTGGCTGCTGCAGCCATGTTGATGGGTGCTATAATGCTCAGGAGTATCAGTTGCAGTCTAACTCTTCAGATGGCCCGAAAACAAGGTTTAATGTGACCGAGGAGATTATGAACAGAATTTTGAACTAGCACATTTTATGGTGCACTATTAATGGGAAAATATCAGTTACGTTAGATAATCCTGAACATTTAAGCTCGCAGTTCACCCTCCAATAAGTCACTGGACCATTGGTTCACTAAACCACCAACAATGCAATTCCACACCTTGTGTATGAGGATTTTATTGTTCACATTTACGAAAACTTCACTGAATTCAAAGTAACTCATTCTTTCCAATTTTCCAGGTTTACTGACTAAAACCATTAATTCCTCTTTAGCAGCAGATCATTGATGTTTGAACAGCCTTTCATGACACTATGCTACGTGGGCGTCACAAATTATTTTGTTACTAGCAGCTGCAGCAGACCCTTTAAGGAAACCTATCCTCGGCAAAAGCTGAGGACAAAATATTCGTCTTGATATTGTCCACCTTGTTTAAGTCACTGCCATTAGAACTCGGTTTCACTAACAATGGTTACTAGTTGCTCGGTAATGCACATTAAGTGCGTTCCCTCTAACCGGTTTGTCACAAAAAGTAAGAAGCTGGTCTATAAGGACTTATGAATTTGCGTGTACTCCTCTGTACCCGGAGACATCTTGTTATTACAAAGACTGATGAGTAGCATTCGTGCATCTTACACGCCGGAGCACATGCTGTCGAGTTTGATAGGGGTTGCATAATCAAAATCTGATATAGACCCACAATGAGTTACAGATGCGGAAGTGAAATACCACAATAATATGGATGTACGCTATATGCTGGGGATTGTGAATTGCCCGTTAGAAATCTGTAACATTTGCGCATCACCCGTAAGACTCAGACTGTGTGTTATGTAAGCAAAGATTCAGTTAAAGGCCGAGTTTTCTTTCAATGTCAATCTGTTCATCAAACTACTGTTGGATTTATGTTTTCGTGATGTTGCATTCTTTGCGTTACCTCTCGTGCTCCTTGTGATTTTTGCAGGGTTATAGACACGTGAATATTTTCTGTAGTGTGCGTCGCTGTCTAGGCAACTGGTAACACTCTTTTTTGAACAGACGTTGCTTCGCTGGTGCAAGTTATGATACTTGAGGGGTAAGCGTCGCACGCACAGCATTTGGACACCCAATTTTATAGAAGCTCAACGGACTTCAACCTATGCATTCAGAAACAGCGACCAGTCCCATTACCTGACTGTTCGAGTGAAGCTGTAGGACGCCGTAGCTGTAGGGTGTCTTTAGCAAACTGGAGCACGCTAGCAGCAGCTCTATGCTGCTCATGATCATCAGGGGATCATAAGCTGTCAGAAGTACAGAATTTGAACGTCATGCACATGCTGTTAGCAGCAAGTTAGAAGCCTGTCATGGAAAGACGGTGCTCATTAAGATGATATTCGCGTCGGCTGGCAGTTATTTTGCTTCCCAAGTCTCTACTCCCATCTCCTCAAACTCTTTCTCAATTTCTTAATGCCCTTGGTGCGTAGAAAGGTCAGCTCAGAGTGTCAGACTCTCTTATGGGCAAGAAGCAGCGTGGATTTACCTCATCTCGTACATGCGTCAACCAGTCAAAACATTGACTTTGTTGACGGCTAAAAGCCAAATTCCCGAACATTTCACTAGACCACATATAAATGGATCATCTCAGTTGCTGGCATAAAGAATCCTTGCCATGGTGACTGCCTACTGGCTTTCCTCACAAGGAAATACGAATAAACAGCAGCGCGTAACTGCAGTCTTTTTCATTTTGTTGCATTGTGTGTACAAGTAGTCATTGAGCTAGACTTATTAAGCCTTTAGTGCAAAATTTAACCAGATCTCATCAAGTGCCAGAAAGCAAGGCTGTCAAACTTCAACAAAGTCGCACATTCCGCTGTTTTGTTCGTTGTAATGCAAACAGTGATGAAGGCTACGCGCAGCCAGTTACAATAACCATTGGGCATGCATGTGACTACCTGTTTGTCCGAATTGGGGAAACCTGAGGAACTCTCCAAAAATATACAATTCGGATAAAACTTTCCTTACCATTAGTAGGCTGCTTTGCCCTAGTGTAATTAAGTTTGCCTATATTTGTTTAACCGAACCGTATCTGGTTAAACAATGAAACCAAATTCCTCTTAACTTATCCCGGTGGGATAATATCAACCTAGGACTTGTTTCATCATTCAAAATGTCTCACATCCGCTAAGAATTGTGCTCATCCCATTTTTTCGAGACGCGTGCCTAGCTTCATCCTCAACCTCTAAATTGTCAGAAAACTCTATGCCCTGATCATAGTGTTCCTGAGGATTTGTATCGGCTGACGCCGATGTGTGAATTAACACGAAATACCAGGTGATTTGGTTGTTGGAAGTCACATTCTCTACTGTTCTTGTGCTTTCTATTATCTTCGTTACAAAGAATATCACAGACCTAGACATTACCAACGATGGAACGCCCCAAATTGGTACCAGCCTAGTCACCTGCAAACAGTTGAGCATCGTTCCAGAGCGCTTGCAGTAGGAGGCAGCTGGGTTCGGTCGAACATTGAGGCTGTGTAGCTACCATTTGGATTGTGTACACATAGTTCTCGCTGTGGAAACATAGCCGCTTGTTATTTTGGCAACTCCCACAGAAATATTTATCAAACGAAAAATGCATTCTATTTATAATTTTCTTATAGGTAATTCATAGCCGAATAAAGTAAATTTACAAAATATTCAAGTCAAACATTACAGTAAGAACTATTGAGGTGTTCCAACAAACTTTGCTTGGACAATTCATTTGGAATAGGAAATATTAAGAAAACAATTAGTTACTTTAAAAGAGTCAATTAAAAAATTGTGTAACTAGTTGCAGATCAAGCGTGCACACACGAATAACATACCAGAACCGGAAAAGAGCAAAAGGTTAACAATGTAGTTAAATAGGAAAACTCTGTTATACACAGAGCGCTGGATATTGCAGTGTAGCCCAGTACCAGGGCGACAATGTTTAACCCGATGTGTAGACAATCAAATAGCACAGGACCAAGTAAAAATACTGCAAACGGATTTTAAAACTGAAACCAATAGGTACAGTGCTGTGTTACACCCAAGATTGTTCCGATACTTCATTTTGTAACGAGTCGCAGTGATGGTTTCAGTATAGTGGATTATTGGAGGATATCGGGCACTACAGTAACTGAATCGAAATTATATTATAATAACTTATTTTTGGTTGGTTATAATAATTCTTGATAGACAATCAAGATATAAGTATTTCTTGGCATTTGATTATAATGAATCACTCAGCTTGTATCAACACAGCCTTATGCCTATAAAAAGGTCTTTTATACGTCTGTCCGTTTTTTAGTTATGCGGCATTTCCTACGAGATATCAGCATTCATTGGCAAGAGGCTGGCGGATCCAATTCCGAACAGGTGAACAAACCTTTTGAGTTAGACATCTACCGAAGCAAATTTGGACTCTACTTTGTTGCATTAGGAAGGCGTCAATAATTACCAAGATAGTGTCAATCAATTAGCACGTTCGTGTGCAATACTATGTACAAACCGTTAAGACTTATTACAAGAAACAGTAATGTCGTAATATCTACTTTCAAGATGATTTAATCAATTTGAATTGCATAGTCTGTTACAAACCACCGCCAGATTTATCGCTAAAATATAGACATACATTTTGGATCAATTCCTTATGTTTTGGGAATAAGTTAAATGTGCTTGTAAACTACTGCTTAAATCAAACTGATCTACCTATTGACGTTACTAACAACATCTTTTGCTTGTATTCAACCGCAAAAGGGCAGCTATTTATTTTTCAGAACTCAAACATGAATGTCTCTCAAAAGGATCCATGTTAATTTTCTAAATACCGATGTAGGCTCAAGAGAATTATGCACCAAATTTTTGTTTTTCGAACAATTGTTCAGCACCTGTGTTAGCAAGCGTTTACTGCGGCTCTAACAATAAAGTTTTAATTTGCTGGGATGATTCGTTACAAGACTTATCTACTGGGGGAATACGTCGCAGGTATATATGCACGAAATCTCATTATAACTTTATGCGAATATGCCCATTCTGGGTTATGAAATTAAGGTATATTGGCGGTATCTCAAAGTAAGATTATCGCTTGGTGACTCATAGTGCAATTGTTGGACTACTCTTAAACATCTGCTGAAGTGACTTTCAACGCAGGTAGTCATTAATAAGATTGATGTACCTGTTAACCAGATTCCCAAATAAAACCAACCTTTATGCCACTCGTTTGACCTGCGAGATGCAGACCGTTGTGATGCAGGAGACTTTGAAGCAGATCCTCAGAAGTCAAGTTTAATCAAGGAAAAGCTGTGACAAAAAAACAAATTCATAAGTTTCATCATTTAAGTTCTGTACACGCCAAGGCCGCCGGTCACACTAATAGGTCTGAACTTATTAAAACCATTGTACTATAATTTAATATGTAAGATAAGATGTAGAGTGCAACACAGCATAAACTATTAGGGATGGATTTAACAAGTTAGTTAAATTAAACAATGTGCAGAAGTATTTATTTCCAGTATTGAAGCCGTGGGAGGAATTTACCATTTTAAATGCAGAGAAATTTCGTGCACAGGTAGCAGAAATAATCGGCTGCAAAAGGCATGTTGGTCAAATTCGGCAACAGCACAGCGTACTGCATTAAAAGACTTAGCGAAGTTCCATACCATTATCATCACAAAAGTCGATAAAGGCAAAAGTTTACTGATAAGTAATAAGCCGAATTACGATTAAAATTTAAAGGGCTAGGTAACAGCAGGGCCTCATGTGGAGATTGAACAGAAAACGATATTGTTAGTAATTAAGAAAAATGAATCGGGGTTGGCAAATATCAGCTGAGTGTGCAACACTGATTGGTCCTGGTTAAGTGCACAATTTGTACCCGAAATCAACCCCCGCCTCCGAAGATCCATGGGCTATAAAAAAGTTCACAATCCCAACCTTCTCATTGAAATCTGTGGGAACAGTATTGGTTCATCAACCCACGAAATAGCCAGGTATGCGACAGATTTTAAAGCCTTCAGCAGTGTAAATGAACATGTAGATAAATAACTCTTCCGAGTTACTGCTAAAGGTGGCAGGTTTGATTCTTAAGTCAGATGAAATAATTGTAAACCGACGTTAACTTACTACTTACGACGTGTCAACTTTTTAAGTATTGTGTTTAGCACGGCGCTGTTGGAACAAAGATAGTTGCCTACTAGGACCAAATAATAGAAGGAAGGAAAGTGTGCCTCAGTATGCCATATGTCATGTTCGAGTCGAGGCTGCACTTTAAGGAAATGGGGAAATCCATATTTGGGAATTTTGTATGGAGGGTGTTGATAAACTTCCTTTAATTTACCAAGGTGTTGCTGACGCTACGTAGCTAATAATTTTATTATTCTAAAGCGAGATAAGAATAAGGGAGCTATAAATTATCTAAATTGCACAAATGAAGTGGTTAGAATCGCTTCTAAAGTCGTAGCTTCTGCTGATTTCAGGCGGTTACTAAAGAAAGCAAAGCGAAGTTTGATCATCCGAAGAAGCCACACCCGCGATTCAGAACTAGTTTTTGCGTTATTCACCTTCGGAAGTTAAGATTAATCTCATTGCAAAATTAGACTCCAGGTTTGTTCTCAAGTGCACCCGGGTCAAACAGCGACCTATCTGCGCACTATGATAGCCGAAGACAAGGAGCACATTTCGCTTTCACCAAGAAACAAGCGTTAACACAAAGTCTTACTATAAGTTTCGGCAGTGTTGGCAGCTGGGTTAGAATCAGGACTCGGAATCAACTGAGGGTGTAGGGAGCATTAGTAGCTGCGTAAGAACAACAAACCAAAGATGAGTTACCATGGCGCTAGAAACCGCCAAGTCCACTAGCTACGTAAATAAGATAGATGGCGTAGTAGACGCGTGTCGTAACCCGTCCAGCCTGAACAACCTCAACGGACGGAATCAGGTTGGAGCGATGATGTCGAACTGACAACTACAGAGACAAGACAAAGAGCAAAATTGCTTCACGTGTGAATGACGCGTTATACTGATCAAATGGGAATGTTCCATGCTCATGTAACTCCAAATTGACCCCTTTTCATATTGAAACTGTAACCATGTGCACTGACACGTGTTAGCTAAAACAACACTTATCTTAGTTATAAAGATCCATGCACATTATACGCTAGTTTACTTGGCCTGAAGAAGCTAGTGTCATGAGCAAAACTTTACCATAATACATGCGCATACCAAGCTGATTCGTATTAAACATTCTGAAAGTACAAGTTGATTTACCGAAGCTTCGATTATCATTGCCTCAACATTAATGACTTACTACTTTCAGCAATAAGTTACAGTGCAATCAAGTTAAAAAGGGACGGTTTATGGAGGCAAATGAATTGATTAATTCATGGACGATACATAGCCACACTTCGCTGATATATGCGGGTGATATTGTAAAGTGGAGAACTCTTTGGTTTTTACCGTTAAATGCGTATTAAAATTCATATTCGGTTAAAATAGCAAAAAATACCTTGTTTTTGTTTTAGTATATACTTACTGGGCGTTATTGTAGGATAGAGGACACAGTATGTTTGGTTATTAAACACGCATTTTAACTTAATGTCTTCTATCAACCTGAGACCTACTACATTTCACAGAGAACATCCCTTAGTTTATGGCATGTTACGCTGCGGCAACTTAACGTTTTTAGATATTTGTGGTTATTTCTCAACAAACGACAGTCTGCCTATAAGTATACAACTGTTTGATGAAGAAGGATAGAGTACTGGTTATCTCTTGTAAATGGGAGGATATGTGTGCCATTTTATTAGGCCTATTTCTTATTATAAGAAGTCAAGCAGTTAGTTTGGCGTGGGATGGAAATTCAGAAAATGGAAAAATGTCTTAATTTGGAAGCCGTGCTTTTCAGCTGCGGACTTAGTAGCAGGGAATCCAAACAAATCGTCAATGTCTCATGCAATTCAATTCACCGAATGTTGGTTTCCGTTAACACAACTTGTCTTGATGGTGTGCATATTTAGCTAGAAAGATGGATTACGTAAGCACCTGCATCTTGGATGTAACGCTCAGTATGCCACGGCCGATTAATTTTTCATACCTGTGGGAGTTTTATGACACAATACATGTTCTTTTTGGCATCGCCAAACATCCAGCTTCTCAGTTAATGATACAGAAGTTATTTACTCGTTGTCAGGCGCGTATGGACTATCGCATAAAGTGTCGAAATCTCAACTATTTCAGTCCAATGAGCTTAGGCTATTTGACCTCAACATTACTTTAAAATCTAAGCAATTTAAAGGATTGATTTTCTTTCTACCATAAAGTGGCTTCTATATTTCAAATTTACTATCTGTTCTACAGACTGTTATTATTTGTTGCTTTGATGAAAACATCATGCTTTGTGTAAGCTATAGCTATTTATGCTGCGTAATTCGTTTGTAATATAATGATTTAAATATAATTATTCTATTTCAGTTGTGTTTCGATGGTGATACGCAAACTGACACCAGGTCCTGCGTTATCGCAACGCCCCATTTGTTCAACTCGGAGGACAAGTTCCAAAATGCCTATGCTCAGCTGCGATGGACCGGTTAAATTGACTGCCCTGTTGGACAAACAGGTGAAGTGATAACGATTGTGTCTAATGTTGAGTTTGATAACTCCGAAGCTTAACCATCAACCAATAACAATTACGTAAAGGACACAATATGATATACATTATTTCTAGTGGCTCGAACCGAACATGAGAAAAACAGGGGGATATTCTTAACCTTATGCAAACGAGCAGCTTTATTTTACTTAGAATTCGATTTTGACTAGGCATCCAGAGTAAAGAAACTTCACTAAACCTATAGATTGAACTGTAATGGGTGGTGTTCAGTTGAACAAGGCGTTTGACAGGTAAACCATAGGTTGCCCTTTCTGATCAACGAGAACGCAAGTGATCTTGCCGTAGTTGCTAATAAAAGCGTGAAAGCAAAATTTTGAAACAATTTACCTGCGTACGGCATGGGTATATCAAAATATTCAAACACCTAGAATAGCAAACACACCAAGGACTTAAATGGGCAACAATCTACAGTCATGTTATTAGAAATATCAAGGCAATTGCCTATCGAATTAGGTATGTGCAGCAAAAAGAAAAATAGCTATGCCGGATAAAAAACGCAGTTGCGTGACAACAAAGCAAAGTAAAAGTAAACAGAAAATATATGCGTTGTTTGTTTGAACTTTTCTCGAGCCTATACGCCGTTAACTACTAGTAGAGTAAATAGGAAGATAGTACGAATGACCGAGCTGCATAAACAAAATCGTAGTTGATGTAATCCGCAAAAACATAAAAACAAAATACATATATTCTTACCGCTTGTAGGCGACAATATAACCACGAAAACCGTAACCTGCAGTTCAAGATCGTGGTCAGATAAACACACCATCTGCGCCTTCCGCCGAGATCCCAAATAAAACTTTATTTGTCCAATCCATGCGATTAACTATGCAAAGCTTTATGTTTTATTGAAACTCACAGCATGGTAACCGGACTTGTTCCCGATAACCTTATCTGACACCCGCTCCTATGAGCTGTTGTGCGATTTTTTGTTACCATAAACATATCTACGTGGTTTCATTCCAACCCCGCTACCAGATACGGTCGCGCGCATACTGTGCAACATGCCCAGGTGTCCCACCACTCGACATGGATTTTCTCTTATCCCATACCCACTGTGACGATTGTGAACTCCCACCCCGTGCTAATAACCCCAAGGGCACCCAGGCCCTCATAGGTTTTTGATTCCATATCCCCACCGAGACGCGTTATGCACATTCTATTTGAACAGAATGACAACTTGTATCTTACTGTGCGCCGTGCTGCGGAACAAATGGATAAGATTTCGGGCATCTTAGCAACAAGCCTTGTATTCCTTCCTCTTTGAATCTGTATTCTGTGGTCTTGCTGCACGGTAGCAAGTACGCTGACACTGTTTTTTCGTAACAACGAAGCACGGTTAGGACTGAACGGACAACGTTAGGTAGATGACTATGTATTTGCGTTCAATTCTGTTTAATATACTGCAGTTAAGCTCTTGGCTCTTGGCTGGACCCGAGCGTTTTGATAGTAAATGGAGCCCCCAAACCTATCGTTCGCTTACACCGCATCCTCAGTTTTATGCTAGCTAGTAATCTGGCTTCAAGTGATAATTAATATTTTCCAAAATATCTATGTATAGGTAACGAAATGTTAAGTACATTTGCGCGATACATCATTTTTTTAATTTTCCAAAGTGGGAGATAGAAAGGTAATGTTTGGCAGCGTGTACCAGGTTTCGTGAAAGCGAAAATAATAATAATAATACTGCTGGCTGGCTAGCCTGTTTAATTAATTTCAGTGGGTTACCTCTGATATTGTTTTTACGTCTGTGTATTAGTAAGGGAGGGCATACACAATTGGAGTCGCGCAATATTTGATAGACTAATATGAGATCGCCTCGCAGCCTTCGGTAGAAGCCATTGAAAGCTCCCAGTGACTTTATACTTGGCTGATAGGACAGATATAGTAGACCCTTGACGGTATTATAGCCCCTGCCTTTCCGTCCCTCTAACACCTCTAAGTCGCCGTTCAATTAATTTTGCCATCCTTGGATGGCGTATTCAGTGTAAAGACGCACGTAAGGGTTTTCCATATTGAGAAGATGGATGGGTCTAAACTTCTAAAATCTCTTCGCTGCAAGCCTTCTTTCTGCTTAGCTAGTTTCGCAGCTGCTTCTAACAACTTTGAACACTTAAGTTCACTTTGAATGAGCACACCAAATTTGCATCCCCGAGACCTTGTTTTTGCAATACATGTGTAGTTGTTTGTTGCACAATTGCACAGCGAGTTATTTCTTCACATGGAACGTAGTGTACTCCGAACTGCCCAGTTGTAAATGTAGTTGTGTTCACTCTTGAGCTTCTCTTGGTCCACTGGTTCTATGATCGCTTGACATAATTTTATATCATCCGCAAAGAATAGATAATCGGAGGTATGTTCCCTCGCCACATCGTTTAGGAAAATCAAGAATGGACGGCGTACTAGCACTGAGCCTTTTGCAAACAATGTACGCTGCGAGACACCGCCTTTATTTGTTAGTTAGTTGATTTTCAAACAGTGTAGTAATTGACCTGGCTTTAAATGTGTTGATAGACGAAAAAATGATCATGTGTTCTTTGCGATAACTGAAGTCAATGGATACCAGTTACTTTGACAATACAAACGTTTGTAGGTTGCTTTTTTCACTGAATGATTGTGGTGGTTACAAAATTGCAACAAAATTAGCACTAAATGGTCTCCCGAAATTTCTCCAACTGTCACGGAAGGTATACGTGATGTGGCTTCAACGATCGCGTAAGTACCACTGTATACTTGGCGATCCATTTTGGCTTCAAGCATTTGCTTAGTTAACTTATGTGAATATTGTGGGTTGCGCAACCAAAAATACAGCATCCCTTGACTGATTACGTACTTGTCTGAGGCAATTACGTAGAGATCATAGGTAGCAAACCACGGACCAGTAGGACGTTCGTTCAACTATCTACACAATTGGCCATTGGGTTGCGTATTGACATGTCATTAATCCTAACCTGGATAAAAAGTTTTGCCTACGGGCTAGTGAAGGAAAACAAGATAAGCACGCATTTTCCTGCTGTTGTTTCAAACTCGTAATAAAACACGGCCATTTAAAACATGTGTTCGAAGCAAGTATACCATTTGGCAATGTTTCCAAGGTTATATACCTCTGTTGCATTGCTTCAAGCACCACTGCCACAATAAAATGAAGTTACAAACCACGCACGAACTTGGCTGTCACGAACATGGAGGGTCTCATTTTGATCATCTAAATGGTTGGCAGTCACCGCTTCCCTACTTATAAAGTCCCCAAATTAGCTGCAACCTTCACTTTAAAACCGAGTCTAGTCATACATTGTAAATTGGGGGAATCTCAGTGACAAATTTATGCCAGAAAACAGTTCGGATAGATTTGCTTGCTAAGCACATCTTTTGATGTTACTTCGGTTAACGACATGTTTGCCCAAGTCGCTTTGATTAATATTTTATACGTAGGATAAAAATCGACATGTAAAACTAAGCATTTGCTATAGCAATTAATTTACATGCCATTAACATTTTAAGCTAAAATTTGACGAGTGCCGTCGGTTACAATCCTTTATTTTGTCCTATATTAATAAACAACTGCTTCACCTATTCACTTCCAGTACGTATTACAATTGTCAATTTGCAAAGATTGTAGATGAAAATCTCCAAATTGTCTTAAAAACATAATCTCAGCCAGATGGACGGGGTCCTTCGTGTCTGTATTACTACTTAAATAAGGCGAATAACGGTGTAATAAAACTATATTCTTGGGCTTGTATATGCTTCATATACACGGGAGCACACATATATGTAAATTGTCTAAGTGGTCTTTAGGAGGTTGAACAATTATATTCTTGTATACTCAGTGGCTTAAGAGAAGAGCTAATTGCTGACATCTCGGATTCGAGTGCTTGCTAATTGCACCCAATTAGATAACTAGGTTCAAATCCGGTCATGTAGTGCAATATAATCGTGTGGGCAACAGATAATACGCAACTATGTTTCCTAGACAAGTTCCACAAACAATATGCCTCAACCTTGTTTCCTTGCTTATTCAAGACGAATGAAGCCAGATTGTGAGCAGCTGCGATCTTATTGCGCATTGTCTCAGACTGAGGAGAAATTGTCTCCGCGAATGTAGCTAGGCAAAATGTTAACTATTCTGCATTCAGCATCTACAGTTATATGAGCAACACTGACTTACGGATGAAAATATAAGCATATACTTTTTATTGCAGACTACAATCAGTTGTTGCCATTTTTCTAAATAATATCTATTTTAAAGATGCCGCGCTAAAAGCACTAACCAGCGAAAGCTTTTTTTCATTATGGGGGTCCTATCCGTGCAAAGTACTGGCGGTATTGGTGAAATCGAAGTGAACTGATTTTTAGTCTTTACTGTAGTCATTATAAGTATCCTCACATATTGTATATAAAGTAAAAATAATAGTAGTCTAACATGTGTTGAAAAATATAAGTATACATATAAATAAAATTTGATTTTGTAGAATAATATATTCGAATAAAAGAATAAGCTTGGGCAGTATCTTAAGGATTTATTTAACTGTTCAGGTTGCAGCTAAAGTTGGTTTGACAATTTTTCAAAGTGGAAAACATTCGACCACAGTTTACCTCTCATAGCACTTTGATCCATAGCTGTTTTCGTGACGTCATGTAATTTCCCAGAGCAAATGCGGAAACAAGCAACAACAGCAGTACATCAGCCAGTTAAATTGATGCTTTGCTGCCACACAACCATGATAATATGAGGTAGAGAAGCGGGACTTATCTGAAACCATAATGTTCCAAAAAACATTCAGGGTCAAGGCGCCTACACATAGTGTAGAAAACACGCCGTCACAAACAGCTGGCTATCGTGCAAAATAAGGCGACATGGGCGAGACAACTTCCTTGGGGCTTTCACTGCCTCGCGTCATTATCAGTTATTACTCCGCAGATAACTCAGCATCAAACACACTTTAAACATGCAGTCCTAC